ATTAAGATTAAGATGAAATTAAGATTTGAAGAGTTTAGTTGGAGAGTGTGTTAGATTGACAAATTTTTAAAGTTGAATAAAAGTTCCATGTAGATTAGCAAAGGACACTTTTAAAGAAGAAATTTGCTAAACCCCTTAGATTTAGATGAAACATACCATTTTGAATTTAGGTAAATTGATATCCGCATAGAACACTACTTGATTGTTGCAAATTCAGCAGCAACTTCTTTTGTTACCCACTCAAGTTTGGACGTGTGTTCAAATAATTGAAATTGTAAACACAGGTTAGACACGTGTTCAAACATGATTAGGTAGTAGCAGAGGCTGCTGTTGAATTTGTTGCACCCAAGTAGTGTTCTTCCACATATGTATTTTTGTCTGTTCATGCGAAACTTTTTATTTTCGTTTCTTGGTTATTCTTTTCATTTATTTGGATCAAAGACAAAAAAAATTGTATGTTCGCCTTTGTTAATTGCGAATTTTAACGAAAAACTCCATGTACTGTTCACTTTAACGAAAAACCATATTTTTACTCTAAAAAGTCAATCCTAGTACTATTCACTTACAACACATTTTTGTCATTTTTGTTAAAACTCAATTTTTAAAACCTTTTTTATTAGTTTTCATTTGTTAATTTTGATTTATTTTCTCACAGTAAAAAAAGGGTGTCAGCAATTGCCTGGAAGGGGAAATCATGACCATTCACTACATCGTAGAGTCATCATGCAAAAAAGAAAGCTCCTCGAGAATATATAAGCGAAAAAAAGAACTCATTAATAAATTAATAAAAGGAAAATTAACGAAAAGTTCTTAAATTTTTTAGTTTTAATGAAAAATGACAAATAAATGTGTAAGTGAATAGTATTAGGAAAGGAAAAAATGTTTTTTTTCCTTAAAATTGATCGAGAGTGTTTCATTAAACTTCTCATTAATAAACCCTGTTTCTTTCTTTTTCTTGTTAGTCAATAAAAAAAGGTTGTTTGCGACACATTTTTTCTTCTTTTCATTTGTAATGATATTCTAACTATATACAAAATCCTTGATTAATAAGATAAAAAATTTCCCGGGAAACTGCATAGAATTTCCGCTCCTTTAAAGTAGTTATATGGTTGAATTAACGGAGGTTTGTGATAACAGAGAAGCAGGACGAGAAAAGGAAGCTAGAGAGAGATAGCTAAGGAAAGAAATGAATCGACATTTTTCGTTATTACACAACTGCATACAAAGTTTTTACTTATACTGTTTCTAACAAATCTTGCTGATATAGCACTTAAGCTTAATTATATTCATTGTTTTTGTTTTTTCAAATCCTGGGAAAAAAATACAAAGTAAAAACTAATAAGTGTTTACTGCCATGAGACAACTCAATTAACACATTTCACAAATACATAAAATTGGAAAGAGATTGGATCTTTCTCTCTAAAGCTCAAAGATTAAGTGATATGGACCTTTGAAATTTAATCTAACAATTAAAAACAGAGAAATTAGTAAAAAAATTTAAAAGCTATAATAATTTTTTAACATTGGATCAAATTTTAAAAATCTGAATAATTTGATTCCTGAACTTTAAAGGAAAAAATCCAATCTCTTTCCCATAAAATTCCTCCCCTGTAATTTAACCCACACAGGAATTGCCAGTCTGCCATAATAAAGCGGTTTACTAAAGCTTTTCTAAACGTATATATTTTTGGCTAACTAGCACTTTGTTTTTCAAACGTATGGACCGTCCGATGTTCCTCGAACTTGGCGTTCAACCTTGATCAGCTATCGAATTGCTGGGCGGCACCCGCGGAGTCCGCAGGACCCAGGCTAGCACCTATATCTCACTAGTTGCATATGCATGTTTATAGGCTTTGAACTGTGCACATCCATTGCAGGTTTGCAAAGTGCCAGCAGAGGAAGAAAGTCAGGTGCGTTGGATTACTTTTACAATAATATTGAAGCCATCAAAATAATTTTGGTTACTGAATGATTCACAGCGAATGGCTGATTTAGTATTACTGTGCTTTAAAAAAAAAATAGCTGTGAAATAAAGCAATATAATGTTTGATAAACATTAAGGCCATCTCCAACCGAAGGCTGGCCAGAGGGCTCGTTTGAGCCCTCTAGCCCTCCAAGATTCCCCAAGATATTAATATTTTAATGAACAGTACATGGCCATATTTGCCTCCGTCTCCAACAGAGGGCCAGAGGGCCAAAGGGCTCGTTTTAGCCCTGTCACAAAAAACCGTCTCCAACCGAGGGCCAAAGGGCCATAGGGCCAAACATAATTTATTATTTAAAAACTACAATTTAATGTTGTATAAATGGCCTAGGAAGTTATACGGAAAAAATAAAATTGAAAAAAAATATGAAACAAATTTTGTGAAATAAAAGTTATAGGAAAAAAAATATGAAACAAAATTTGATTCATATGAAAAGGAAAAAAAAAGGGGAAAAAAAGAAGTTTACATTCATTAAAAAAAAAAAAAAAAAAGAAGTTTAAATTCATTAAAAAAAAAAAAAAAAGAGGCCTAATAATACAACGGCTACTAGCCGTTATATTAAAAAACATTTCAAACTATTAGTGTCGGTTATAACCGACACTAATAGTAGAACTATTAAAAAAAAAGGAATATCTTTAATGCTGTCGGCTATAATCGACAGCAATAGGAAATCATTAAAAAAAAAAATAGCCAGCCCGGGGCTGGCTGGCTGGCCGAAAGCAGCCAGCCCTCCAGCCCTCCAGCCCTCTCCGATCCCGTGGGGCCCTCCCAGATTCCAGAGCCCTCTGGCCTAGCCCTCGGTTGGAGACGGTTTTAGGGCTATTTTCGGCCCTCTGGCCCTCTGGACCCTTCGGTTGGAGATGGCCTAAGTGCTTTTGGAAAAAAAAAAAAACAGTATGATAGTGATTGATAAACTTTTATATGAAACAATTGTGACTGTATGTGTTAAGGATACAATAGGACCACCAACTAAGTCTATATCTGATTAAAAGATTTCTTATCTGTTAAGATATAGTTGGTAGAGTAGGTGGTTGTATCTATATATATTGTATTGTACATATTCTGAAGGGTAATGAAATCATTCTATTCAATCATCTTTCTCTTTTGAATTCTTTCTCTCTCTACTTCTAATTGTTCTCTCACATAATCATGAGTTTTTACAGTATGAAATGACAAAATATATATATATATATATATATATATAATACTAGATATGTTATTAATTTAATTTTCTTAACAAATAAAGTTCAATTACTAAATATACTTTATTTTTAAAATAAAAATAAAAATCTCTCTCTCTCTCTCTCTCTCTCTCTCATCTTCTTCATTCTTGTGTTTTTCCTTCTTTATCCCCTTCACGCTGCAACAGCAGCCAAGGCGTAGCCGTCGCGAACAACCCTCCATTTCCATTTCCGATCCCATCATCTTCTTCAGCTTTTTTTCACCCATAACTTTGAAAAAAAAAACTGATTTAAAATGTTTACCAAACATTTAAAATGCTTCAAGTTTTTTTCATACTCACTTTTTTTTTTTTTTTTAAGTTAAGCTAAGCCAAACTAGGGCTATGTATATGTACTTCGTGTAACTACCACTCAATTCCATGCACGAAGTATTCCACACTATATCTACTTACGAAAATTGATGTTGCATGCATGGCTATGAACAAAAATAATTAAGGTTATCTCCAATCGAAGGGTCCTAACGGTCAAAAATAGCCCGAAAACCGTCTCCAACCGAGGATCAGGCCAAAAGGCTTGTGGGCTTAACTGGACAAAAAAGGGCCAACCGGTTGGCCATCTTTAGCCAATCAGCCAGCCCGCTGGCTAGCCCAATTTCATTTTTTTTTTGTTTTTTTCCATTTGCCCAGCCCCCCTTTTTTTTTTGTTCTTTTCCACTTGCCCAGCCCACTTTAGGGTTTAGGGCTTAGGTTTTATGGGTCTCAACCCATTTTTTGTTTTTTATGCCCAGCCCATTTTATTTTGGGACCTTTTTTTTTTTAATTTTTTTTATTTCTAATTGTTTTCCTACACCATTTCTCACATATTTTTCACCATTCCATACTATCTTACCTCATTTTATTTCAATTCTTCACATTCCATACTATAACCTTTTGGCCCTTAGTTGGAGACAGTTTTTTGTGACAGGGCTAAAATGAACCCTATGACCCTTTGGCCCTCGGTTGGAGATGGTAAGAAATATGACCCTTCACTATTCATTAAAATATTAATTTCTTGGAAGACCAGAGGGCTAAAACGATCCCTCTGGTCAGCCTTCGATTGGAGATAGTCTAACGGTTAAGACGTAATTAGAGAGATGAACACTAAAGAACATATATAGTTGAGACGAACGGCAATAGCGAAAATAACTTCCGACCTTAAGACTTTATTCAAGACTTTGAATTGTATTGAGTCTCTGTAGTGGATTAAAGTGGGTTTATGCCGGATTGGAATGCTTAATGATATATTATCATGTGTTTGGTTCAATAGAAGAATGACTGGATTTGACCTTCATTCTTTAACGTACCGTTTGGTACGCAGATGGGATGAGACGGAACGGGACGAGATGGGACATGACGGAACAGGACGGGACAGAACGGACGTTCCGTGTTATGTTTGGTACGCGCAGGACGGAACATGACGGTTGTTCCGTTCTGCGTTTGGTAGCGCATGGACAAAACGGAACCAAAAGATTAAAATGACTAAAATACCCATATTCCGTCTGTTACTTGGTACAATATTTATTCGTGGAACGGGATGATACTTTCTTTTTTTTTGGTTCAAATTTGAACACTATTTGCTTATTCATTATTTGTTTTTCCTGGTCCATATTTTATTAGGTATATGTTGTGTTCCAAATGAAAAGCCCTTTAAAATTTGTAATTCTTCTATGATTTAGGTTGATGAAGTCAGACTTCCTCAAGCCAATGAATATTGGAAGTGATGAGATGGTTAGCATGAATGGGATGGCTGATTTTGTCTCTATGATCATGGTTGCCATGCAATGTTGAAAAATATATAAGTTTAATGATCATGCATGACCTGAACAAACAAGCATATAATTTCACCATAAGTTAACATACATCGTCATATAGGGCGATAAAGGTAAACAAATGCCTAAAAAATTACTAATTCTACCTCAAAGTAGTGCCTCTTGATCTCCATCTCAACATCAAGGCCAGTGAACTCACACAAATGCCTGTGGGTAAAGGAGTCCTCAGCTCTAAAAACAGGACCAATCTCAAAAATACTGCCGAAGTCACCACATATAGCCATCTGCTTGTGAAGCTGAGGTGACTGGGCAAGGTAGGCATCTTGACCCTTGTAGTTGAGTCTAAAAACAGCAGCTCCACCTTCACTTGAACCAGCAATCAACTTTGGCGAGTGGATCTACACAACAATGCAACCGACATGCATAACTAAACTCTTAACGATTTTCTCTAGCTTTAAAAAGATAAATAGCTGCAAATGGTGGAAAGACTACTTACATTGCCAACTTGACTCTGAATGTGGAATATCCCCTGATTCGCAGGTGTTCGCAAATCAAGAACTCGGTTATTCAAGTGGGTATCCTGATTAACTCGAACAAGTGTTTCTCCGGCCTATAAACCCATCATACCACCCAATGAATATACACATACTAAGAGAGAAAGTCCCAGAAAGCTTAACAAAGCTTCAATAATCCTTTTCAAAATAAATCATCTAAATGTACCTGCAAAGCCTTTTCGATTTCAACATCACTCCGAGCAGCATCCTCAATGTTAATAGGTAAAACAGCAGCCTTACTCACACAATACAACTTCCTCACTTGAACCTCCACCTAATTAAGATCAACATCTCAATTATTTCAATCAAAACCCAATGCAATCATAGGAACTTTCAATCCATTTCTTCCTTGTTTTTTCTTTTTTCCTTTTTTTTTTCTCAAGAACCTAATTAATAATATTATTTATTCATCAATTTCTTCTGAAAATTCGTGGATATCATCACCATCAATCGCCCCAAAATCCCTAGCAGAAAAACAACCTTGTTTCCGCCCAAACCCCATCCACTGTTTTCATTGCCTAAACCCAACTTGACCCGTCCAACCCAAAACCTAGCGAAGAATGCACTCGCACTCCCAGTTGCACAAATCTTAACAAAACCCAGTAATTAACAAATCAAATCTGATGATTAACAAAACCCAGTAATTAACACAACCCAAATCAGAATATCAATCGCATACCTGGGTCAATCTGCAATGCGACGGTAGTGGCTCCGTGCTGGCTGGGTGCAGTCGACAGCTACGGGAGAGGATGAGGAGGAAGGATGAGGATGAAGTCTACGGGAAGAGAGCAGCGGCAGAGAATGGTGTAAATATTGAAAAAGACAAGGGGTATTTTTGTCTTAAAATGTTATAAATTTCTGTCCATGAACGTGGAACATGCCGTTCCAGGAGGGGAGGTGGAACAAACAATCATCCAAAACTTATCCCGTGGAACAGCGCGTTCCACTCGTTTTAGGCGCACCAAACATGGGACGGAACTTTTCGTTCCACTCTGTTCCATTCCGTCCCACGTACCAAACGTGACCTAAAGACTAGTGTATAATACAAGAGAAACTTCAATAAGGTTGTCTAATTGTGTACAGTTCTTAAACTAGTCTTATATTTTTGTTGCAAGTGCCTTAAAATAAAAACAAATGTGATCAGACAATCGTATCCATGTGTTTCTCGTACAATACTACTTACATATTTGGCGTAGGCTCAGATGTGATATTAATTAATTTTACTTTCAATTGTAACTAGTTGTTTTAAATGTGGATAATATATTCAAGTTCGATTGATATTAGATGCTGTATGAAGAACAGTCAACTCCCTTGAAAGTTAACTTGATATATGTCGACAGATCACACGTACATGACAGTCCACTGGATATATTGACCAAAACTGGCAGCATGAACACTAACGAAGCCCTGGCTTTCCTCTGTGGGTTATTAACATATTTGGGAATATATTTCCGTAATCCCATACATGTTTTGGATAGTGATTTAGTATCTTGTTAGATGTCTAGGCTAAGGATATGGCATTGGAAAGCAGGCGTAATTGGATGCATAATATTGCTGAGATTTTTCTGTGAGTGCAGCTGTGCAAGAAGAATATGGCTTGCTCCAATTAACAAAATAAATTCTCTGTTCACGGAAGTATTCTTAATTTCTTGCAAGATTTTTTATTTTTTATTTTTTATTTTTTGGTTGAATAACGTTACAAAAGAAATTACAAACAAAATTCTCGACGAATCATTTGCGCATTAAGGTTTTTGTCTTTCTAAAGTTTCTGTTGTAGTATCCGATCACTAATCAAAGAAGACAAAGACACGGATAATGTTAAACAATCATGTATGCATGACTAATGACTTTGTTTCATAATCGAGCCAATTTTCTCGACAGGGGAAAGCGATTGGTCTTCTTCCTTTCGTGCTAGTTGCTACCACTAACTTACGAGCCAATAATCTCATTCCTTATATCATAGCCTAGGCCCTAACTAGAGATCGAAGAAAGTTAAGATTTCATCATAAAATCAATTGACAATATTGAGAGTAATCCAACCTCTTATAAGTCCTTGCAAGGTTTCTCCTTTCACCAATGTCACCAATGTGAGACTTTTTTACCTTTACATTCTCACACACCCCTTCATGTGTGGTGAATTTTCAAGCCAAACACGTGGATAACACAAATTAGGTGACGTAGAGCATGTGTGGCCGTTGGGCTTCATACATGGGCCAACATGGCTCTGATACCATGAAGAAAGTTTGGGTTCCACTATAAAATCAATTGCCAATATGCATGGGGAGTAATCCAACCTCTTATAAGCCCTTACAAGGTTTCTCCTTTTAAAGACTACTACATAATGTATTCAATGGTGTTGAGCAAAATAATTATCTATATATTTGAGTTACTGATAATCTGTTGAGAATTAATTTCACATTAATCGGAGAATGAATATTGCATGGCTTATAAGTAAGTTGGACTACTCTTCATATTGTCAATTAGTTTTATGATAGAACCTTAACTTTTTCATGGTATTAGAGCAGGGATTTCCACGTTTGAAGTCTTAACAACTAAAGAAATGCAGAAGAAATCTCAGAGAGAAATTGAGAAGAAGGAAAACAAAAAAGAGAGAGAAACTGAAGAATTCTTTTGTTATTACTTTGTAACGGTAACAAGCTATACACACGTAGGCTACTATTTATAGTAATTACATATTTGATAACTCATCACTCGATAATTCCAGCTCACTTAACTAACTAACCAATTTTTAACCAGTTCAACTGATTCATAACAGATTCTAATTGACATGGCAGAAGGATCTTATATGGTTGCCATGTGTCTTCAATCATTACTCCCCTCTCAATCTCAGCTAGGGTAACCAAGCCTGAGATTGCAGCAATGTCTGATATAAGCTGGATCATGTAACCCCTTTGTCAAGATATCGACCGTTTGATCCTTGGTAGGTACATATTGAACTTGTAGATCATCTCTGCACCTTTTCCCTCACAAAATGGAAGTCAGTGTCAAGATGTTTTATTCTGGTATGAAATACAAGATTCAGAGCACAATGCTAAGGCAGACAAGTTATCATAATGTAGTAAAGGTGGTTCAGGAATGAATTGATGTAAGTCTTTCAGCAATAAACGAATCCACACTACATCAACTGCACAATGTGCAAGTGCCTTGTACTTAGCTTATGTGGAGCTCCTAGATATCGAGGCTTGTTTCTTCGACTGCCAAGACACATGATTTTGTCCCATAAACACAACAAAGCCTATGACTGACCTTCTGGTATTGGGATTAGCAGCCCAATCAAAGTCTGAGTATGCAGTTATTGAATTGTCTTTAGATGTAGAGTACGTAAGACCACACTTCACTGTTCCTTGAACATAACTCAAGATTCTCTTTACTAGACCAAAGTGAACATCAGTTGGATTAGTCATGTATTGACAAGCCACATTCCAGCATATGACAAATCAGGTCTAATAAATGTCAGGTATTGTAGTGCTTCTACTAAGCTCCTATAAAAACTCGAATCTTCAAGAATTGTACCTTCAATAACTAATAGTTGAGTATGAGGTTTACATGAAGTTGCAGGCTGTTTGCAACCATCCATTCCTGCTTTATGTATCAAATACTTTGCATATTTCGACTGATTGATGAAAATATCACCATTCGTTTTGTATTCTATTTGTAATCCCAGAAAATAAGAAAGTCTCCCCATATCTTTCAAGTCAAACACATCACAAAGTTCTTGAATCACTGCTTGTACCTTTGATTGGTTGGATCTTGTCAAGATTATGTCATCTCCATGTAGTAATAAAGCAATGACATATGTGCCATCATACTTCACAAAGAGACTTGTATCAGATTGAGACATTTGAAACCCCATTGCAGATAAATATCCTGTAAATTTAGCATTCTAGACCATAGGTGCTTGTTTTAAGCCATAGAGTGACTTAATCAATTTACATACATAATCAGGGTGTGTGGAATCTACAAAACCTTGGGGTTGCTTCATATAAACCTCTTCCTCCAAGTCACCATGCAAGAGTGCATTCTTGACATCAAGTTGTCTTAATTCCCATTTATACTGAGCTACTAGAGATATAATCAACCTAATAGTGGTATGCCTTACAACAAGACTGAATGTTTCAAAGTAGTCTAAGCCATGCTCTTGATTATATCTTTGTGTAACCAATCTTGCTTTATACCTTGAAATGGAACCATCTGGATTTTTGTTCAGCTTATACACCCATTTGGTTCCAATAACTGACCTGTGTGTAGGTGATGGAATCAATTTCCATGTGCCTTGACTTTTTAATGCATCAAATTCATCATGCATTGCTTGTTGCTACTTAATATTGTTGCTGTACTCCTAAATTTTGTTGGTTCTGCCAAGTTAGTGATTTGTGCCACAAATGAAAAACCTTCAATCTGATAATGATCATCTGTATTAATCTTTAAGGTTGATAACTGAGGTAGATTTGCAATAAAGCTTGTGTAATCTTTCCATGTAATAGCTCCTGATTGCAATCTGGTTTGCATTCTTGATATTGAATTGTCAGTTTGAGCATAATTAGAAAACTGAGACGAATCAAAAGGTAAAATTACCTCTAATTGTGCAGGATTGAGGACATGTAACATCAAAGCTGTGTTTGGAGGAGATGAGTGAGTTGTTTCATGGGATTGTGATGATTTTGTTGGTATATTGTGACTGCTAGATTTAATACTACTCTGCGTTAACCCCATAATATGTTGGCTAGAAGAACTTGTATGATTAACATTCAAAAATTCATGTATATCATTGTTGTCCACTAAATTGACATACCTTGAATGTACTGGGAGTGTCACAATACTTGGAGTATTAGCAGACTGTAGTGATTGAGAATTCTCCTAAGATTGAGATTTTATATCACAGACATTAAGCTTATAAGGAAACAGACTCTCATCATGAATTACATGCCTGGATATGATTAACTTCTTTGACTGTACATGATAACACACTACACCTTTATATCCCACTGCATATCCAACGAAAACACATTGTAAAGCTCTTGGCTGCAACTTATTCTCATTATAAGGCCTAATATATTAATACATAGCTGTTCAAATATTTTTATACCTTGTAGTTGAGGATTATCTCCAAATAGCAACTGATAAGGAGATTGCATTCCTAATGTTTTACTTGGCATCCTATTTATTAGAAACACAGAGAGTGCACAAGCATGAAACCATAAGCTTTGAGGTAAATGTGTAGTTGTCATCAGTGTTATTGCAGTTTCTATAATGTGTCTATGCTTCCTCTCAGCCATCCCATTCTGCTGAGGAGTATATAGACAAGAAATCAAGTGAATTATACCTTAATGTTGCAGAAAATCATCAAACTGTTTACTCATAAATTCTCCACCTCCATCTGTTTGCAAGCATTTGATTCCCATATTAAACTAAGTAAGAACAAAGCTATAAAATTTATGAAATATAGCAAAGACTTCTGATTTATTTATCACGGGAAATATCCATACATGCCTTGTGTATCCATCAACAAAACCAACATAATAACGAAAACCTTCTATAGACCTAGTTGGTTAAGGCCCCTGGAGATCTAAGTGAACCTTTTGGAATGGAAAAGTACACGTGACTGCCCTATTTGGAAATACTTGTCTTGACATTTTACCAGAAATAGAGAAAGAACAAACATGCTTTTGACATTATTAAGAGAACTTCATCATTACTGAGACATAGAGTATTGAGAAGGAAACACCATTGGAGCTTGAGAAGTTGGATATGGTAACTGTATTGGACCAGAATTAGGATATGGCCCTTGAGAAGATTA